GCCACACAAGCAGACGACACAGAGGTGCAATCTATGAAATCGTACGCACAGCAATGCTTTGAGCTAAATGCTAATGAGCTTGCAGCAGGTTACATGTTCACCACTAACAAATGTACCATCATGTGAAAGCATGTGAACAGCTAACAATTTCTAATTAGCAAACACAAGGTATAGCTGTGGCTGTTTAGAATGTCATTAATACTGGACACTGTGACATTATAACCTGATCATGACCTTAGGTGAAAAGTTAAAGAATTGTGTGCATGGACATTTCATTCATGCTTACTTCAGATGCTGTAAAAGGTTATGGCTGTTCTGAGCCTTTGTGGCAACATTTTTAGAAAAATACCAGGGTCTTTAATGTAATGTAATGAGGAAAGGTAAATCAGTGCGGCTGTGTGTTTCACTGATGGGTTTTTAATTGTTTTGCCATAACTATGGAGGTCTATAGCATGGAAGGGTAAGCTAATCCAGGACTGACAGACATTAAGAAGGAGAAGGGGCAAAACATTGGTGGTTGCATGGGGAGTGTTTAAAATACTGTTAATATAGAAAATGGCCAACCTTATCCTTTAAGGGATCATCAAAGTTAAAACAATTCATTCTGAGGCAACATGAATGTGTGTATTGAATTTCATGCCAGTTTATCCAGCAGTTCCTGATATACTCTATATTTAACTCAAAACAACAAATGTTAGCTAAACTCTGGGGGATGCTAGAGGAAGCGTAAGAGGGATTCATCCTCCGGGGATCATGAATGACAAAATTTCACAGCAGTCTGTCTGATAGTTAGATTATTTCAGTCTAGATCAAAGAGTTGGACTGGCCAACAAACAGGCCCGCATCCTGGAGACACACAGGTGAGAGTCTTAAATTTAGGACTGACAAGCCCCTTATTTTAGACAGTGCTCATAACTTTGACAGTTAGTTTGTTTTGTGAATAAAACCTGATAAACTGCACCAAAGTAAAATTGTTCTCCGTCTCTACTTTGATGACAACCAATTCAACTGGCGCAATTTACTATTTTCTTTTCACTCTTCAGCGAAAAAGCATTTGAAACATATTCCATTCTATCCCGATGACATTAAAAATCCAGGACTACAGCAAATGGCAGCTTTTCTGTAGAAAATCTTTCTAATGCCATTTGACGTATTTGAGGTCAGAATGTTTTTCTAGAAGCTGTTGTTCAGTGAATTTGCAGCAGAGAAGAAAGCACAATTGTGTCAGCGCTCATATTAAGATCAGAGTGTTGCACACAATTCAACCTGAGCATAATTAGGATCCATCAGCCCTTCTAGCTCTCGTCTAAAGCCCCTTCTCTCCCACCACTTTCTACTGTATTTTCCACATATCTCACTGTTTTATGACTGAAGCATGCTGCCATATGATTCACTGGCAAATAGACCCATTTATATCTCCCTGTCTCGCCCACACAGATAAAATACACAAATCAAAGGAAGGATGCACAATTATCATCACACAGATGAATGATTTATCATTTGGTTTGATCTTGTGATGATAAAAATATGTGAATATACAGAGCTGTCACTTCTTTCATCCACTTTCTGTATGCTAGGCAGTCGTTTCTGTTCATAGATGCTGGGACAAGGAGATATTTAATTTCTTTCACTTCAGTTTTGTTAAACACAGAGCAGCCTCTTCATTGGGGGACTAATCAATGACATTCACCAGCTGTAAAATGCACTTCCTTACATATCAGTCAGGGACAAATTGAGTAGTCAGCATAATGTAGTGGTGCATACTGTATGTACATGAGAGACTCAGGCCAGCTTAGAAATGTTTGTTCTGGAAAATCCACTGGCAGTTGGGTTTTGCAGATTGGCAGCCAAATGAACACTGCTTCAGTTCGGTCTCATAGTGTAGATTGCAAAGTGATGACGTGGGAAACGGTGACTGCTTGCTACCAGCTAACCATGGTTATTATGTATTTAAACATGTCTATATGTACATACAGAAAGAAAGTGCATTGTTTTGGTAGGTTTTTGCTTTCAGTGTGTTACTAACTTCAGAGTCAGCAGCCAGAGTTTGATCTTGTTAGAGTCACTCACTCGATGAGGGTGATCTGCCACTATTACATTCCGTCTTCACTCTACTGTCTGACCATCCCCTCTTTTCTGGTATTAGAAAATATCAGCATCTGTGTATTTCTTATGTCTGAGTAAAGTGTTGTTAATAGGAACAGTCCTTTTCCACATCCTGAGATCTAACAGCAATTTCACAGGAGGAGGAGATGCCTGCTATTGTGAGCAAATACTCTCAGCACTAGTATTCTGCTGAAAAGCAAGGGAAATAGGTTCCGTACAAAACGAACTGAGAGGTAACACCACTTTTAAGATGGATTCAACCTGATTATCTGCTGGCAGAAATATATAGTCTGAAGCTAACAACAAATAAAATGCATACACAATGCAAGAAAAGAAGGTATTTTTTTTAATCATAGTTCACATGCTGAAGGTCCAGCTTTAATTCATGTGACAGACTACTATAGTAAAAAGGAGGCATTGTTTTCAAAGTTTGTTGTGTCCTTTGTTGTCACTGTAATGTCTTTCAATCTAACAAAGTACCTCAGCTTACAATATGGGCATAGGCTGCAGGTTATTGTGCTCTATCATTAAGTGGAATTCAAATCATGTCATTATGGCTATATGTCTGCTCAGACTGGGTTTTCCTCTCTAGCTTTGAAGACTAGGCTCTGGGTTTTCCTCTCTAGCTTTGAAGACGGAAATGTAATTTTATTGCATTGAGGCTATTCTCCCGTGAAGTGTATCGTCTAATCTGCCTCCCCACAATGAAAAGCAAAGTCACTGAGAGTTACAAAAGCCACGATGCATGATCTGCATGCTAACATATACTGTAGGTGCTCAGGCACCTGCACATAAAGCACAAAAGCCAACAACACAAAAGCTATTGCAGTGTCCATGCCGCAGAATAATGGTTTAATAGAGTCAGCAGATGTCAGTTCAGCAGTGAACTAACTGGTGAGGGAAAACGTACCCCAGTGAAGAAGCTTATCATGGCACTGTGTTCCCTTTGTGCTACTGTATCATGCTGTCAGTGGAAAGGCTTGCATCCAATCCCACAGTGCTTTTGAGACACAGATCAAGAGAAATTGTAAAACCTTTTTTTTTCCTGTTTTGATTTGAGTTTAAAAGGGCATTTGTCACCTCTGAAATGTCAACCGGTTCTCTAGGATCATGTATTGAAGGGTGAAAATGATTTCACCTGTTTTAAATTCTGATGTTAAATCTATAACTCATTTGTTTGCAGGTGTGAGCATTTAATCTGTTTTGCAGTTTCCAGTTTATTCAGCTTTGTCACTTCTGGCTATTCTTATGGGAATGGAACATCACACACACTCAAGTACAAATATGAGGAACTTGAGTTCCATTTCACATTTCATTTCCTTTTTCACATTTCATTCTAGTTTGTAATTCTAGTCCATTACAAATCAACTGGAAATATTGTACATTTACTCAACAGCTCTTTTTTGAAATCTGTAGTTACTTTTCTCTAGTTTTCTTTGTGGAGTATTTTTACTTTTGATACTTAAAGTGCATTTTGCTGAAAATACTTAGGTACCTTTGCTTGATTAACATTTTCAATGCAGCAATTTTACTTAGTGTTTTTACATGGTGTCATTTGTACTTTTACTTAAGTAATGAATCAAAATACTTTTACCAATGAACTAAAAAATATTGCAGTTTAGGTACTCGCAATACTCTGATGAACACAGCAGCAGGATGTCACTGTGGTGTTGCTGTGCCTCCTTCATTTTCATTAAAATGAGCTGCATTAGGACTAAATCATAACCATTAAATATTCTGTGTTGGTTATCGTTCACGATGAGAGCAAAATAAACATGAAATGGAAAGTGTGAAAACCATATTCACATTTTCACAGAGCACATTTGTCCTGCTGCAAGCCGACGCAAGCAACACAGTGTGCAGGAAATCTTCATATCACAGTGGTGGCTGCCAATGAAAAATAACTAAAGCTCAGCAATGAATAATAGGAACTTGTCTGACGACGAGTCACTTTTGCAAGACAGCTGATGGCACCTCGCTCCTTCTATTCATGTAATTTAATAGATATTAATTTTGTCCATGTCCCTTCCTTTTTTTTCCTCAAATTACGTCCATTCAGAGGAAACAGCTTGTGTTGTGAGGATTTTTGATTTCTGAGGTATTTCTACAGTATTTAGGTTATTTATTGTATAAATATGATACAGTGATGAATGGACTGAATGATCCCACACTTGTCACCCTTACATTTGTGGCCATGAAGTCCTTTGAGAAACTGGTGTTGACCCACCAGGGCATCACAGGTGTGCTGTCAGACCTCCTGCAGGTCAGTGGATGATGTTGTCAACATAGCACTGCATTACATCCTGCAACACCACGACTCCCCAGAGACCTATGACCTATGCACAGGTCCTCTTTGTGGACATCAGCTTGGCGCTCACCACCATCATCTCAGACATCCTCCACTTCAAACTGACCCAGCTCACTGTGCCCACATCTCAAAGGTTTTCTGTGAAAATGTTTATATATGTACATGTATTTATAAATAAATAGTTTCGTCTCTTCTGTTTTTCCTGTTTTTTCTTATTTGAATGCGCATATATTTATTTTTTTCTTCGGAATTTTCTTCTTCCTGTTGTCTTAGAAAAACACATTGTTTTAGAGCCACTGTACCAAATTTCTTGCATGTTTAACATACTTGGCCATTAAAACTGACTCTGATGTTCTACCAGCCTTTCCTTATTTCTTTGACTTCTTGTTGTGGTTGCTGATTGCAAACTTTGTAGTTTTCATTCTTTTTTTTGTCTCTACTGACTTTATTGGGTTTTTAAAAAATTGCAGTGGTTTTTCTCATGATTTATTCAAACGTACTTTTAGAGTGTGTCTGAGTGATATATAAATGTTTTTTTATGTTAACTGACCATTCCTCTTTCTATCTCTGTCTCTCTCTCTTTCAGATGTGAATGGGGAAGCAGCAGTATCACCAAGAGAAACTGGACGTCCATATGTTTTTAAAGTGCTTTGTATTAAACCGCAAACGGCATCACTTCTCTCTAAAGTAATCCATTACTGACAATTAATGTCAGACTACACGCTGGAGCAGCTTAATGCTGCCTTGCAGGGTGATACATTGCTAATGGAAAAAAAGCCTTATAAGATCCAACTCATCAGAATACACCTAAATGCAGCATAATGCCTTCAAAAGTGTCATGTTTGTACCTGTTGACGGTGGTCTGCTGGGCAAGCGCTCTGTGGTACTTGAGTATATCTCGTCCAACGTCCTCTTATGTCGGCCACGTGTCTGTGCCTATACAAAAGACTGTGAAAACCCACAAAAACCTCACGTTCACCAACATCCGCACCCGCCCCCTCAACCCACATTCCTTTGAATTTGTTGTCAATGAGCCGAAGAAGTGCGAAAGTGTCACTCCCTTCCTGGTCATCCTCATCAGCACCACGCACAAGGAGTTTGATGCGCGACAAGCCATCCGGGAAACCTGGGGGGATGAGAGTACCTTCAGTGACATCCGCATCCTCACCATCTTTCTGCTGGGCAGGAACACAGACGCTGTCCTGAACCAGATGGTGGAGCAGGAGAGTCAGATCTTTCATGACATTGTGGTGGAGAACTTTATTGATTCCTACCACAACCTCACATTGAAGACCATGATGGGCATGCGCTGGGTGGCGACCTTCTGTCCCAAAGCGCAGTATGTCATGAAGACAGACAGTGACATCTTTGTCAACATGGACAATCTGATCTACAAGCTTCTGAAGCCCAGTACCAAGCCAAGAAGAAGATATTTCACTGGCTATGTGATAAATGGTGGTCCCATAAGGGATATGCGCAGCAAGTGGTACATGCCCAGAGACTTGTATCCTGACAGTAAATACCCACCTTTCTGTTCAGGCACTGGCTATGTGTTCTCAGCAGATGTAGCTGAGCTAATCTACAAGACTTCATTACATACAAGACTGTTACACCTGGAGGATGTGTATGTGGGATTGTGTTTGCGTAAGCTGGGTATACACCCTTATCAGAACAGTGGTTTTAATCACTGGAAAATGGCCTACAGTCTGTGCAGGTACAGACGGGTTATCACCGTCCACCAGATCTCCCCGGAGGAGATGCACCGCATCTGGAATGACATGTCCAGCAAGAAGCACCTCAGATGTTAGGGCACATAAGAACCACTGAACAAAAAACTGTTTTTGTTTTTTGTTTTTGTTTTTTTGCCTTTTTCTCCTTTTCAAACATCATCAGTTACAAACTGATAAATGTAAAAATATTGAGGGCTGCTGCAAGTGTCTGTTTCATGACAGGCCATTAACATCCATCTCTGTTTCTGCTCATTACTCCTCATGAGTGTTAATGAATGCATGAGGTTTGTCAAGCGTGTATTCTCATGAAAAAATTAAAATGTGATGGTGTTACTGAAAGTAATTTTCTTCATGTATTCCAGACTATTCTTTACAAGCATTGCATCAATCAGCACCGAGCATTAATCAAGTTTGGCCTAATAGGTAGAGACAGTGGGTTAGCCACGACCTTTTCACTTGTTAAAGTGTCCTTGAGCAACACACTCATTCTCTAGCTGCTCTGTGGCTGCTGACTCAGCACCCCGATCTTCCTGCAGGATTTCTGTGCAGGAATCAGTGCGGTTTCAAATGATTATATCTATAATATTGAAAGTAGTATTTATAAATGAAAAGAGAGTTCTTGAACTATGAGAATGAAAATGTTAACCTTATCCATCAACAAGCCAGGTTGTTTGTTGACATAATACTCTGTCTACACTCTCACTACACTCCCAGCTTTCTTATGAACACAAACATGAAGATGAAAATAGGCTTTGGTATATTATCATTATCCAAACATACCAAGTTGAAAGATTATTGGAATTTTTCATTCTGTAAGTTTTCTTTAGTGTTGGTAATAATGAAACCTTGTAGCTGAATTCACTGGATGCGCTTTCATTATGAATTTGCCTGATGTTTTTGTTTACATATTGCCTTCATTTCACTGCCTCTTCACTTTGAGACATTTGAGTTTCAGATTTATGTTTTTTTAGGTGCATTTTGTTGTTTTCTGACTTTGAAATTTTCATACTTGGGGTAATTGTGAGTCAGCTACAAGCTCCTCATTACTATAGCTGCCACTCTTGGTTATGTACTGTGTGCTGTACATCAGCAGCTACTTCAGCTCATCATCTCCCCCAGACATCAAGGGAAACACAGTATCATGTTGTGCAAGTCTGAGTTCAACTGTAGCAAGATCATTACTGACTGGATGTATTATCATATGTATCTGGCACATCAGTGATTATTGAACCATTACTACTGACATCATGAAAACATTTTGTGTCTGTCAGAAAATGTGACTTTCACAGCCAATGTTTTTTTTTTTTTTGTCCAGAGGTTTTGTAGTATTATAAACTAATGTAACATTTACTGTGAACCATCTATCCCGACAGGGGTTGTTGTTACAATTATTGTGTTTTTTATATTAAAAACAAATACTTGAATAATTAAAGTTATATTACTGCTTTTACTTGTTGCCTTTTTCCAGTTCCCTCAGTTGTGGATTCACAGAAGCTTAGTTCAGATTAGCCTCTTCATTCTTGTGTTGCTCTATTTGTAATCAAAAAGCACGTGTTTACAGTTGATTGATAAGCCTACACTTCAAAACAAGAAAGTGCTCTTGGACTGAATGTATTGGACCCTGGTTTAACTGACCAGGTCAGAAAACAGCAATTCTTTAATCAAATAACTTAGTACTTTAATTCAATAATTTAATTCTTCAATTTGATCATTTAATTTAATAATTTATTTTTAATTCAATTGCCCATTTCAGTTGAAAGGGGCTTTATTGGCATGAAAGTTTTAACATTGTTTCTGAAGCATTACAATTTATATTTATATTTATAGATACAGCTGGGTACAAAAGTTTGCATCCCCTTACTTTGAAATGGTAAAAAGAGTAAAGCAAAGAATTTTTTTCTCATCAGCATAATGTAAAATGCATGTTCAGCTAGTACAAATGTTCCTTCATCAACAGAAGTAACAAAAATGGTCGGAGTGTATAAAAATTTAAAAAAATATTAATAAAATGAAAATCATATCTCTTTTATGAAACGGTTTCTAATAGGGGTGTGACGATACACTTGTTTTACAAGACAAGGTGATACATGATACTCGGTTCACGAGAACAAGACGATATTTTAATACTATTTTTACAAAATCTTCAATGAAGAAATATGACAAAACAATGCAATGTTAACTAATCAGATGTAATGAATGTCACTTCAGTTCTACTTTCAGTTTGAATTATCATATGCAGTAAATGACAACAATATGCAAGCACTGTAAAAGGTTTTGCCACAAACCCAACTAACTGGTTTGACATGAGTCTCTTAAGACCTTAAAACTGTGCATGAACTATACAGACATGTGGGAGGTTCCCAGCAGGGGAATTTATCCCACCCCTGCAAAGCAATTAACTTAACTGATGTGGGGATACACTTGGCAGTTCCATACATAGATGGGATGATTGTCAGAGCTTTGTTGTGCAGTAGATGCAATACCCACCGGGTGTGCATTTGGGGTTCGTGGGAGGGAGCAAGCCTATTGGAGACAAACAACTCAAGATGACTCTAAATAAGCTCTGGGACACTCACTTTGGGTGTATTTGCCTTATTTTCCATGATGAGGTGATCAAAATGACAGCAGTAACTATGAAAATTGGACTGTCAAGTGTACAGGTTGACACTATGTTGAATTATTATTCCAGCAGAGACATAAAAATTCTAATAATTATCAAATTAGTTGGCTGTTAATGAAGCGTCAGATATTTCATAAGCATGTTTTATGTGTAACTGAAATAAATGTGTAGTGAAGCTTATTTTCTGCAGACTGTTTTTGGTGGACAACGGACAGGGTTAGATGCTGACATCAGTGTTTCAGGTTCCTGAATCAGGGTTATGATGGTTCAGGATTCTCTTTAGCACCAAGGGCAGTGTGCCTGGTTTCACTTCATAAGCTCCTTGTTTCTTTTGCTTATAGAAAGTGAGCAGACTCCCTTCAAAAATCCAGCAGGTTGATTTTGCCTATATGAGAACAAACATAATGTTCAATATATAAAGTAACTCAAGCTTCACCAGCTTCTTAAATGTAGCATCTTCTGGTAATGTCATAATAGTAACATTAAGTTAGATTTACAGCAATAAACCATTTATGTAATTAGTGTAGGTGACCTTATAAAATGCAGTTTTTTCAGTCTCCAGGCATTAAGCTCATGTTATCACAAGTTACTATTTAAAAACTAAAAACAATGCAGAAAGCTAAACGTGGTTAAAAAAAAAAAAGACGTCACCTACATGCAAATTAGCACGTGATGCTATCTAGCTGCTTTCCATTTAAATTAGCTAGCGAGCATTAGCTGCCATAAGCTACTGGTCATACCAGATCAAGTGACACTGTGGCAACACAACCAGTGTACTCAATTCAGCAGTGGTGTATCGTTTTTCTTATGAATTAAATTTTTAATTGGCTAAAAATGTACTACTTTCATACATTAGTGTCACATTAAACAATTTAAAGTCCATGCTAGTACCTTGCCAAATGTTGACATATTCTGTAGTATCACAAAGTTTGCTAAATCATAAAAGAAAAACATTAACTTCAAGATAATCGGATTTTAAAATAATAATAAAATAAAGTGTATGTATACAAACAAATCCAGTTACACTAAACTATTTTGACACATTAAATATGCCACACCTTTTTTTTTAATAATAGCAATTCTTTATTTGTTGCTCCTTGTCAGAAATTTGCTGATTACAGAGAAAGAACTGGGATAATATGCTGAAATGGCACATGTACTGTACATAGAAAACAAATTACTAAATTCTTTATAAGTAAAGTTATTTCCTGCAGGACTCATTTGGTCAGACAAATGCTTGTCACCCTTTCAATAAATGTCTTTTGGTCTCATCCTCAGATGCATTATCTTACAATAGGACTACTTTTAGAACAAAAAATCTTTTTAGTGCAGCAGGACAGAACAAGAAAATTCAGCTGTTGTATTTGTCTATTAACCTGGCACCTGAAAAAAAGCATCAACCAGAGTGGATTACATGAGGAGAGGTTCTATTATGTTTTGTGCATCCAGTGATGAGAGCACAGCAGTTCACTGTCTCCAGGAGGCCAAGCGTCTGCTTGTTGGGTGCACTCAGCCTAAAAGTGCATTGCAGCTTGTCTCATTTAGATATTTCACTTGAATTGTGTCATTGCTGAAGTAATACATTTGTGAAATGGAAATCAGCAGGGTCTGCTCTTTGTGTGGTCTCATTTAACCGACTACTTTTCTTAGGCACAGAAAAATGAACAAGGCACCTCTAGCATTTAGAAGCATTAACACTGTTGAGAGCAGCAAATTATACACAGTAGCATCCAGGTCTTCTTTTCTGCACACAGGTTCCCTTTTCTGTCAGTGTAAAACATGTCTTAACACAGAATTTGTACTCTTTTTAGACATTCACTGTGTTATCATGACAATGTGCTTCTCCTCACCC